GGAGCCGCCCCTCCAGGCCGCCGGGGCCCTCCAGCCCGCGGGGCTGGAACCGGGGGCTGTATGCTGGTGGAGGCAGGTAGGACTCCTGGCTGGACGACAGAGGGGTCAGCTGGGACTTCAGGGCAGCCACCGAGGTGGGCACCAGGGGGTCCTCATTCTCCTCGTCAGACTGGCGGAACTCGGGGTACATGTCCGTCTCCTCCGCAAAGGGAAAGCCCTCGATGCGCCTGCCCTTCACCGGGGGCTCCACCTCGGAGGGCCCCATGACAAAGCGGCCGTCGGGGCCTCTGCTGATGAGCTCGATGGGCGTCGTGGCCTCGGCCTCGGCCTCCGCCTTGGCCACGCTGTACTTCTTGCTGCTGATGGCCCTCTTGGTCTTCTTGTACAAGGACAGCTCCTTCTCCCGGCTGGGGCTCAGCATTCTCTTGGCTGCAGGCTGACCCTGGTCATCGGAGGACTCGGAGGGGGGCCGGAGCGTCCGGATGCTCTCTGGGCTCACCTTGCCCGAGGACAGGCTGTGGGAGAGCAGGAGAGTGAGGCAGGGGACACACTGGCCGTTACTCCTTTGTGTTCCCTGAGCCAACACCAACCACAGTCACCAGGGAAGACAGGACTAGGGAACAAGACCGCAGGTCACTGCATAGTCTGGCGTGAAACCCTTGGGCCAACACTCTCCATTTGTCTAGGTGTGTATTCTGAGTGAGCACCCGCATTTCTACTTCTATTCCGCTCCGCCCCACGGTTTGCTGGGCTCTGTCCAGTCCCACCTGGCACTTCACTCCCTCCCAGGTTGCTCGCAGAAAGCAAGCTCATTATAATATGACAACGCAAAACATATTCAGAAGGCAAATCTGTTAGGATGACCGAAAAATAAATCACAGAACTACACTCGAAGCCAAAGAGAAATGGGTTCTCAGCGAATCTGGATCATTTACACGACTGCTCCTTCTGCGGGGAACAGCGCGATCAACCAGCGGTAACCAGTGGAGAAGAGCCGTGATGGACCGCCCATTGTCACACCCTGACCGTCCACCCTGACCGTCCACCCGCACACCACAAGCAGCGTGTCCCCCGGGGCCGGGCCGGGGCACTTACGGGGACTCCAGGCTCTTCCTGCAGTGGGTGATGGAGAGCGGAGGGTCTGGAAGGAGAGAGGGGGAGACCTGCTGAGGCCGAGACACCAAAACACACGCCAGCGTCGACAGGGCCCAGAGCTGAGCCA